AGAGGAAAATTTTGCACATCCAAATTTGAAAATTTGTTGAAAATGATAGGAAATTTTGAATGATTTTCTTCGATTTCGCGAAAATACGTTTTCGTCAAAATACATGTCACCTTGGGACACTCTACAAAGCGGGAAGTTTTGAGCAAATGATTACAAATGAACTAAAATTATGAAATATTTAGTAATATTTTTGGACCACTGAAACCGAAAATAAGACAAATACGGCTTAAATAAAATTAACGTCTTTCAATAACAAATTTTTTGCAAATATTTCCTCCAGATAATGGAAAACTACAAAACAGACCGATAAGGGTTAATTTTCTCGAAACACAATTAATTTATCTAGGTTCCTCTGTATGTAATGTATTGCTTTTTAAATATTAAAACTAAATGCGTTTTCAGCGTTCAAAATAGGCAGCCCAAGAAACAAGTATGATATAAACATGCAGTAGAGTAGCAATTTCGTTAATAAATAAATAATTAGTTAGTTTCCGTCGCGCAAAATTTAAACTTGATTCCGAAACTTTACTCCTTAAGTATTTATAAATACAGCAGTTATATACAACAAAAGAAAAAAAGAAAACAAAGAAGAAAAAAGAGAAACCAAGAAGCTATTTTACTCTCTTTGATATAAAAATATTTATTTGCATTTAATTTGAAATTAACTGTGCAATATTAAAGACAGTTTCACCTGACCGCATTCACGAATCATCCAAAGTGTGAAACAACGAAGACAGTTGAAGAAACAGCCACTGATTGGGTCAATTAACCAAAACAATTTCGTAAAGGGTTCCCTGCTGTAACAATTTCTTTTCACTTGTTTCTAAAACTAACTTACTTCATCAAATTCTATTTAGAAATTTGTAACTAATTAATTACGAACCTAATCAAACGAATCACTAATGAAATAAAACAAAAGTATGCTTTTTGTAGAACATGTGTTTTTCTAATTTTTGAAGAGTAACTTAATTTTTATTAGGTCAAACATATGAAAGTCGCTTATTGCAATTATAATACGTACCTATTAAACATTAGAAGAAAAATATTTTTTTTAAGTTTAATTTATCATCAAACCACAACAAAACAAAAATAGAATTATAAAATCTAGTTGACATTAAAATTTATACATACTTTTAAAAGAGCACGGTGAGTATGGTACAGGTGGGTGCTATTTTGCGACTGACTGATAATAATTTCGATTTTATGAAAGCTTTGCAGAAGCAGTGAAACCATTTTCGAAATTTAACAAAAAATTTCTCGGATCTACAGTTTAATTAGTTCAATAATTTCTGTCCACTTCAGTGTTTGAAAAAGTGGTTCGACTTTATTAAGAAAGAAAAGAAACAGCGAGTGTTATATTTTAAAGCAGGTACCTCTATCGTAAATTTTTAACATTACACAACAAGTGTATAATAGTAGTTGTAACCTTCCAAGAAATGGACCAAATTAATAATAACACCAAAATAGGAAGCAAATTGTATAATCAGTTTCTTAGTGTTCCACTTAAAATTTCTGGAATCGCTTTTAATTTCATTTCATGACACAAGCATTTGCAATTTGCAATAGCAAAATTAGCTACTGTTTTGTAAAACTTGTTGGTACAATTATTGCGATCTGTTTCTGCAGTGTTAATAAATCTACCTAACTACAGAAGATTTTGGTTATTTAAGTGATACAACGCCGCAGAACTACCAAAAAAAGTTTTTGGGACCTCTTACTAAAATCTATCACTACTGTACGCAGTAATAAACCAAATGAATTGTCTAGGTCCTCTGTTCGGGTACCCAAGCCGCGATATCCTTTAAATTATTGAACTGGGGCGCATGCTTTCTAAAGGATATTATAACTACTCAACCGAGCATAATAAACTATTGTACGTACAGGGTAAGGAAAAGGACATAGGGTACCTTTTATCCAGAAAAGAAAACAGTTCCCCAGGGATACAAAAAATTTGTTTTTATGTGGTGTTTGATGATCTTTGAGACATTTTTAAAACATCAACGCGAGCGAAGCCGCGGATAAAATCTAACATGAAATTTTGTACACACATTGTTAGGGGTTCAGAAAAGGACATAGGGTACCTTTTATCCAGAAAATAAATAGTGTTCCCGAGGAATAAAAAAATTAGTTTTATGTTGACTTCGATGATCTTTGAGACGTTTGTAAGACATCAACACGAGCGAAGCCGCGGGTAAAACCTAACATGAAATTTTCTACACACATTGTTAGGGGTTCAGAAAAGGACATAGGGTACCTTTTATCCAGAAAGTAAATAGTGTTCCCGAGGAATAGAAAAGTTAGTTTTATGTTTATGTAAAACATCAACACGAGCGAAGCCGCGGGGAAAACCTAACATGAAATTTTCTACACACATTGTTAGGGGTTCAGAAAAGGACATAGGGTACCTTTTATCCAGAAAATAAATAGTGTTCCCGAGGAGTAGAAAAATTAGTTTTATGTGTATATAAAACATCAAAACCTAACATGAAATTTTCTACACACATTGTTAGGGGTTCAGAAAAGGACATAGGGTACCTTCTATCGAGAAATAAAAAGTTCTCGAGGGACAGAAAAATTAGTTTTAAATGGTCGTCGATGATCTTATATAATCTTCTATAATTAGGACATCAACGTGAGCGAAGCTGCTAGTTAAACCTAGTCATATTATAAAGCACTAAATATATTAATCTGCACTACGTACTATGTAAGGAGATAGATTTTACCTGATAATTGTAATGATTTTGTAATCATTGTACTCTTTCTGTTCTTCAAAAGTTTACTCAAACATTATTTGAAAATTAATTCAATTCTACGGTACAAACGAAACATATCTATTCAATACATTTTATATAATGAATCAAATATTTTTATAAAATTGTCACCTACATTTTATTTAACTGACAAAAATAAAGAAATAAAAACGATATACTGGTTTAGTATTAGGTTTTCTGATTGTCCAGCCTGTCTCTCGAGATGACACAGCATATTTTCAAATTAACTTTTCTAACTTTCTAGAATTATTTACAATCACAATTTTCAGTATCTATATAACGTCAATTCTGCTTGAAGTTTTCAGATATTCATTGCTCGCATAAAGAGAAAATTTAGGATAAATGATGAAAATAAACTGGATCATGCAATTTTCAGTTTAAACTCATCAAAAACAGCATTAACCTTGTCCGTTCAATTCAATTGTCAATAACAAATCGCTAATTACAAAAAATAATTTGTAACTAATTTAACTGTTAGTCACAGTGTAGACTTTTCGTTACAGAATGCAACCTAAATACCTCTGTTCGAAATATAATAGAGATTATCAGGTTAATTTGTGCATCAACTGAGCACTTAAAACAAATTAACTTTGCAGAAAAAATTACTAAAACGTCTGTTGCAGAATTCAAAAACTTTTCAGTTCAAATTAACAAAAGGTCTTTATCCTGTAAATGAAACTAATATGAATCACATGGGTTATATAATTTGATCATTATAAAACGATTGCAATACGCTTTTCTACTTATTGTATTTTGTACATTTAAATTTCACACGTTTACCATTAATAAATCTTCATTTCTTTAAATTTTATACTTACGATAAAAAAGGAATTTCTATTTATAGAAACGATTTAAATAATAAAAAAATAAATGTACGGTTAAAAAATTCTAATAATATCGCATGCTTAATTTTAAAACGCGAAATTCATCCCGATTTCTATGAAGCTGTTGAGGTCACAAAAGGTCATTCAAAACTTTTTCATTCCCGAATAAGGTTACTTTTTCTCGATTAACATATTGTTATTGTTTTGATTGAATAGACGCTAAATAATATCAGACTTTTTACCTTTTAATCTAAAACGGTAATTGGTCATACCTGTTGTTATTATTTGGTCCAAGCGGGTAAAAAACATGCAGATGTTTTTATATAAATAAATATTAACCTAGATAGAAAGACGACTTTTTCGAAAAATGCAACAACAACATCTACATTACTACACTTTCAATAGCAAGAGTAAGAGCTATCAAAAGTAAATTTTTTTTTGTCAGGAAGATAATTATGTTTATCCTGTTGTATTTACAACATGACCCATGTACTGGCCCACCCTGACCTTTAACTTAATCAGACGTAACGTAAACTACAACTCAAAACTATTTGCTTTATGCAGAATTATGAGACATTTTTGGAATATGTTTTTTCAACTACTTCTACCTGAATATACAACCTACTTATCTAAAAATTGTCATAAACAAACCGAAATCTAGCAAAAAATGTCCCTGCTACGAGACTTTTAGATCTATTTATGGATTTATTAGGACACTAATAGTATTAATAAATCCGCAAAGATTTCTGAGTCTGCAAATTTCAGACGTAAAGGCAAATGGATTTTTGGCGCATTTTGGTAATTAATCAAAAATTATATGGTTTAAAAGTAAAAACAAAGATCCCTTTTGCATGATACCCAACTGAATTCTGATGGTCAACCCTTAAATTTCAGTTTATCCCCTTTTTGAACCCCGACTGAATTAAATATAGAAACGTTGCGACAAATTTTATTGTGTTTCATTAGCAGTTGCTGAGATAATCAACTAATCTGAAAGGGTTCATCATTACTCATCCAATTAAGACGATACCAAAAAAAAAATGTGAAAAAATAAGAAGAAGCGCATTTTATGAAGCAACTAGAAACGATAAACCGCTATCAAATAACAGTCAACGTTTTAATGGAATTTTATCCATTTACTTGCTTACAATAATTAATTTGATGTTGCGTTTTGTTAAATCAATAAAACAAAAATCGTTTCGCTGTGATGCATAGCAGTTGATCGTGAAGAATACAGAGAGGAAGAGGCGAAACGCGTTTTTTTATCAATGCGATCCCACGTTAGTGCAGACAATTATGCCGTTTTTGCAACATATCGTTTACATAAACAGAGCCATTTCTATAAAGGATTATGCAGCATTTGTAATAAGTCGGTAAGATTAATCCACAAGAAGTCAAAAACCTTTTTAACAGTTGATTAACCGTGGCACTTCTCGTTCGCTTGACTGGCCGTAATTTGCAAGAAATAATAGGACCGAAGTAGAAACAGTCGCTTTCAAGACACACCAACAACGACGACTAAAAGACACGACGGTGGTGGGAAATTGCTGTATATAAATATTGTTTCAAAACCAAAATTGCATCAATTCTATATTTTCGTATTCCCGAAACCTCACGTTCCAAAATGCTTCGGAGAAGCATTTTGCTTCAGGTGAGAAAGTGTTTGTTATTGTTTTCGTTCTCGTTCTTGTGAGAGTGATAAATAATATTTAGTGACGATGTGACTTATAATAAGTGTTTTATCAAAAAAACAAAAAAGCGAGGACGCCTAATTTTTACTTTTTTACAGGTATGCCTTCTTTCTGTGATCGTAACAAGTCGTTGTCAAGAACAAAATTCGGAACAGAATGCCGAAAATGAAGAAATCTTTGGGTACGTTGATAATAGCGATCACTCCAGAATCCGATCGTTGGACGGCGACGACGACGACAGTCCAGCCAAAAATTCACCCATCGATTACTCTGGATACTTTGCAAGTGGCGGATCGTTCGGTATTAAGCAATTAATAACGAAAACTTGAAATTGTTAACCATTATTTTTCAGGAGCCTCCGATAAAGGCAACCTAAATGTCCCACTTCCGAAAGCTCTAGCTCCCAGCTATGCCTTTGGGCAAGCGTCTGAAGCCAAAGACTTGTTGTCTGAAGCTCCTTACAAAGCTCTCGACGAGCAATCCGACGACGAAGACAAAGCGTTCACAAAAGAAGATATAATAGACAAAGAAGCTGTAAAACTCGACGATACTCCATACGACTACAAATCCTCTTCCCTAACAAACCTTCCGTCATTCGACACCTCCATTTCCAACAAAGAGGCCGTTCCTTCTGGCAAACTCAGCTACTCTCCCCTCGGAGCTTCGGACTACTCCTCCTTCGACGATTTCAATTATCAACCGTCTTCGTCGTCCTATAATCCTTCACCATCTTCGTACATTCCTTCCCGCTATTTCGGCTACATTCCAAAATCAGCGCATGACGAGGCTCACGCGAGCGAAACCCAACCCCAGAAGGAATCCCGCGACGGTTGCGTAGATGTGGACAAAAAAATCGACGACAGAATGATGAGATGCAGCGTGTGCACCGACGCCAAAGGAGGCCAAAGTGAAAACTGCGCTTACGCAGCACAGCCAAAGACTTACTACAACGAAAAGCATTACTCGTCCAAGGCGCCCGAAAACATTCGTCAAAAGAGAAGTCGCAAGAGCGTAATCGAAGATCCTTACGAATACATAAGATCGCGAAACGCTTACAAGTCCAGACCTAAAGAATTCGACTACAGCTACTATAATTCCAAAGAGGACGAAGAAGAATCCAAAGAATCCAAAGACTCTTACAACTACGACTTCAATCCAAACGACTACGTCTTCGAAAAGAGCACGTCGGAAAAAGAGGGCGAAAAAATGGTCAAAGAGGGCAAAAACTGTCAACAATCAACCAAAGATGGTATGACGTGCACGGTATGCGTCAACCCAGAAGGAGGCAACTTTGAACAATGCTCGTACGCCGTGGAACCGAAAGAAAAAAAATACGCTTACGTGAAAGAAAGCAAATTCGACGGCAACGGAAAACCTGTGGTCAAAGAACGACTGGCAACAACGGACGGACAGAATCCCCACACCCAAGCAGCCACCAAACAAATTGTAACGAATCAACCAGCACCAACTGAACAACAAAAACCTGCACAAACGGCAAGTGCCGGTTTTCAAATGAGAAACGTTCCGTCCCCGTTCGTGAAACAACAACCCCAACCAGCCGCAGCAGCTCCCCAGCCAGCCCTCCTCCTCCGTTCCGCTCCGGCATCTCCAACCATTGCTGGAGCTGCAACTGCACCAGTGCCCAGCATGGTTGCAATGGCCAGCGATCCAGATGCTGAATCCATCATAGACCAAGAACACAAAGCCTTGGTAGGCAGAGGTAAAGGCAAAGACTTCGACGACACCAAAGACGAGCATCCGTACGAAGCCTACGAATCTGCAACGGACGAAGAGGCAGTGAGTGCTGAAGAACTTGATGACGAAGACGTCAGTACAGCTGTCAGTAAGGAAAAAACCAGGTCGGACGATGATGAGTACCACTTCAATTTCGGAGATGTTTACAAACCAGACGCCCAAACGATCGAGAAAAGCGTTGCCCCGGCCAAAGGTCAGCCAGGAGATTATTTCCACACGGACGAATCGAAAAAGGACGTTGAAAAGGTGTTTGCAGAATTCATCAAGAAAGATCGCTCCAATTGCAAGCAAGTGGCCAAAAAGGGTATGACCTGCTACCTCTGTTTAGACAGCAAGGGCATACAGAACGAAGAATGCATGTACGTTTCGGAATCCCAACCAAAGAACACCCTCATGGCTTACCACGAAATGCAGCACACCAACCAGAAACCGGGTGTGGTCCCAGCTCCGACTGTAGAATCCAAAGCAGAAGTACAAATGATGCCTCAGTCCACTGCTGCAACCGCTGTCCAGCAACAGCAGCAACAACCCCAAGCAGCAGCATCCAGCTTAGTGGAAACTGTAATCAAATACGTTCCAACCCCCGCTTCCGAAACTAAGCCAATACCAATCAAGAGAAGTATAGAAAGGAAATCGAAAACTCCTAAAAAATACCATTCCGACGTGGCAGCCGCTGCAAGTGAAAAAGACGAAGAAGAAGCTGAAGAATCCGAAGAGCGTGACGATGACGAAAGAATGGACTCTTCGGAGAAAGACGATCCAGAAGTAGAAGAAAGGCAGAAATTGAAAAAGAATCCAAACGATCCCGAACCCCAGTTCGACATGCACGATGAAGAGGGACTATTCAAAGAAGAAACTAGACCAGTTTATAGTAAGGCTCTGGGATATTCGTTACCAAGATTCATGTTGGAACGATCTGAACATGAAGAATCATACGACGAATTTGTAAGAGGACGCAATAAGAACAGGGACTAAATTAATATTGAATTGTTAATTTAAGTTTAATATACATAAAAACATACATTTATGCGGGAACAAAACTCGTCGTTATTATGTGAAATCCTGTAAAAGTGAGTTAACACAAATCGAAACTGAGACACTGAACGTTTTAGATCTAACAAACCAAAACAAAAAGCAAAAACGTATACTACATCAGACAATGAGACAATTGACTGTAATTTTAATCTATTGTTGTTAATACTTTATAAGGAATGTTGTTAACCAAATAAAACTTTCATAAAAAAAAAACCGAAACGTTTTTGTTAAGTTACAGTGGCAATGCAAGAATTCGAATAGCCTAGAAAGGGTAAAAACAACTCCAGTTTGTACTTCATGCACGATTGCCATTCGAGTTTTTCTTCGTTATCTTCGATTGCCACAATTTAGAAATCAGTCGTTATTAGTTGGTGATTGATATTACTGCCACCATTGATTTCTTACGTAATTTCTCAACTTTTTGTTTTTGTTTAACTACTTTGTACAAGTGAAAACGAAATTGTTTCAACATTAATAAATTTCACCTTAGGTGAAATACCTACAAACACCTGTACATATAAAACGAGCGGTTCCGCAAGTAGTTGACTTTCCACCGATTAATTAATTTATTTTTGAATTTTCGAAATTTGATCATACTACGAAATGGCCAGCAAACAATATTGGTGCCAATCGCACTAGAATAATTACGAAGTAACCAATTTCATAATACATGTTGTTATGTATGAAACGAAATGAGTATTTACCTAATACATATATACATGCAATGAAAATCGCAAGTGCAGCTAAGAATAAAATGTACAGTAAAATACAAAGGACTTACCCTTTTTCTCGCACATGAAGATGTTTAATAATATACACCAATTTTACACTACATAACCAATCCTACCGTACGCTAACTCGTTTATTAACTGGCACATCTTCCAGAAATTGTTTTATTCAGTAAACAACTCAAAAAACTCATGTAAGATGACCTTATCTTGACCTCCACTAATTAAATAACAAAAATATTACAATACAAACTGAATATCCTGTATGAAAACCTGTCTATAATAAAACACTAGTTTTAATTACAAGCAAAAAAGTTACGCTTATAAAAAAATGTGTAATAATACTCTTAAAACTCTTTACCTAATGTAATTAATATTTTAAATTTAAATTTTCCGAATAGTCCCGAAGCTAATCGAGTATTTACGAAACTTGACAACTATAGAAAAAGAAACATAACCTAAGAAAATATAATCATAGACCAAATAACCCTACTTTTCGGTCCTGTTTTCAAGAATTTTAATTAGTCGTTTATTTTAATTAAAATGCCCCAGGGTAGAAGGAAAACTCCTTTTAGTGGAAGAAAAAAAAGGGAACAATTAAAAGCTAAAAAGCTAGCGAAACTAGAAAAAGACGGTAAGTTGAGTTGTGTGGGTTTACAAGTTGTATGTTTAAGCTGCCTAATATTATACTTTTGCTTTTATATTTCTTCCAAAGATGATACAGACGAAGAAGAATATAATCACGCTACCCAGAAGATAAATTACCAAGCTGGAGGAGCTACAAGAAGTGACACTAATCGATATGCTCTAGAATTTTTCAAAGAGGCCAATGAAGAAATTAAGCTTCGAAAAGAAGAAGCAAGAAGATCTCTAGAGAAAGTTCCTGAAGAACAACTTGAAATCGATATCGATAACTATTTCCCCAAAGGATTAGATTTTCCAAAGCGGCCTCCATGGTCATATGAATTAGCAAAAGAGGTGTTAGATACTAGAGAAAACAGATATTTTACTGTAAGTAAGATTTAATATTTAAGGCAAGAACTATATTTAATATTTTCATTTGCTCAGGAATATGTTAACACATTGCAAAATAAATTTGGCCCAAAAGAGCTAAGTTACTTTGAATTAAACTTGGAAACTTGGAGACAACTTTGGAGAGTTTTAGAAATGTCCGATATTGTTTTGGTTATAGTAGACATCAGATTTGCTGTAAGTTTATACGATTTTCAAACTACTCTGACTGTATGGATAACAAATTTGTTTTAGGCACTAATGTTTCCACCTTCACTTTATGATTACGTATCAAATACTCTACATAAAGACATCATAGTTGTACTAAATAAGATAGATTTGGCACCTGCACCACTTGTGGCAGCTTGGAAATACTATTTTACAGAAAAATTTCCCCATTTACACATTATTATGTTTACCTCTATGCCAGGATATAATTTAATTGGCACATCTTCGGATAAAGGGGGTAAATAGAATAATCTATGATAATGAATTATTTTCTTTTAATTTTTGGCAATTATTAAAGGTTTGCAAGTTCGTAGACGTAGAGGGAAAATACGAATGGCAGCAGAAGGCACGCAAATGTTATTTGAAACATGTAAAAAAATTGTTGGCGAAGATGTGGACTTGACTTCATGGCAACAAAAAATTAAAGAAGAAATGAATCAGGAAAATAATGAAGAAGAGGATAAAATAGAAGTTGGAGAAACCATTGAGTTAAAAAAAGTCGACACAAGCTATTTTGAACATGAAAAATACAAAAATAGTATTTTAACGATTGGCTGTATAGGACAACCTAACGTAGGAAAGTCATCATTAATGAATGCCATAATGGGAAAGAAAGTTGTAAGCGTTTCAAAGACTCCTGGTCACACAAAACATTTTCAGACAATATTTTTAACGCCCAATGTTCGTTTGTGTGATTGTCCTGGTCTAGTTTTCCCTTCAAAGGTGCCAAAGCCTTTGCAAGTGTTAATGGGAAGTTTCCCTATAGCCCAACTAAGAGAACCATATACATCTGTAAAATTTTTGGGTGATTAATCCTATTCCAATTCCCATTGAAACGTAAAATTTATTATTTTCTTTGTTCTAGCGGAACGTTTAGACCTTCCAAAATTGTTAAGGATAGACCATCCTGAGAATGACGACACCTGGTCAGCAATGGATGTGTGTGATGGATGGGCAAAGAAAAGAGGCTTTTTTACTGCCAAGGCGGCAAGATTGGATACTTACAGGGCCGCTAATAATTTATTAAGAATGGCATTGGATGGCAAAATATGTTTATGTCTAAGGCCCAAAAATTACTCAAAAAGGAAGGGTGAGAATAATAGAATTTATCATCAATGTGGGACCATAAAAAAGAGTCTCAAAGAATATTGAAATGCCATAATCCCTAAAGAACCCCTAAAATCCTTTTAGTTTTCTATGCTCTACACAAATTTAGTTCATATTTAAGTTAAAATTAAGTTATATTTTTCGAAGCTGACTCCTTTACATCCCCAAATGAAATAGTAGGGCTTATTTTTCCAGTTTTGCAAGTCAGTTGAATCCCTAATTATCATAATTATTCTCTAAACCTGCAAGTTTAATTTCTAAATTGTTTTAAGATTATTGGGCATCACATCCTGATGTCCAAACTATCAAATGGATTCAAAGCAGGACTCAAGAGAGTGAGACTCCAGAAATATCAGAAGTAGTGAGTCAATCAGATGATTCTGACGATGACGCTAAGTCCACCAAAGGAGAAACATTCAAAGAGTTCAAAAATTATAATAAAAAATCAGAAGATAATACCGATAGTGATGATGAAGGTGAAGAAACTGGTGATGATTCTGATGATGTTACAATGAAATCCAACAAGTTTTCAGTATTACAAGATCTTTAATCAGTAAGTTTGTTAATGTCATGTCTATAATTAAATGTATAAGAGGATGTAATTTGTTTCATGCAGTTGAATTAATGTGTTATTTTTGCCAAACGTTACAGTTTATTAAAATTAACATTACAATTACGTTATTAGTTTTATTTGTTTAATAATTACCAATTTTTTACCTCAATCAAATTAATTTAAGTATAAATCGAACAAATGAAGAATAAGCATTTAATCCAAAATACAGGATATTTAAAAAATCAAAAGGTATTTAATTTCATTTCTTTTTGAATGGGATGACATTAAAAAAATCACACTGTAACATAACAATAACTAAACACAAAGGGGTGTATAAATACTCAATTTTTGTCTATACTCGTGCTACAAAAATGTGAACAAAAATATTAAAATGCGTTACTTTATAAAAAATGACCAATATGTTACTTTTGTGTTTTGTTTCAATTTACTTCTTTTTCTTTTTCGATGATTTCTTTTTATCGTCCGGTATTAAATCAGGGTCAACTGAGCACAAATCATATAACTGTTTACTCTTTTTCTTAATTTCAAGTCTCGAGAGAACATTGGGATCTTCCATAACAAAGCCACCAAGCAATGCTACAGAGAGAATATAAAAAATTCTTCACTCAGTTAAATCTTTCGTCTAAACTAATATGTGTTGTTTAAAATAGAATAAAATTAATAAAGAACTTGGTTATTAAAAAGGCCAACATATTTTAAAGACTGCTTTCAGACCATATTCGGTGATATTATTAAATTAAGGAAGTACTTACAGTCTTCAGTATCTTCTTCTCTGCTAAAGAGCGATTTGGGATACCTATTAATTCCTTCAAACAGTTTATAAGCTTGCTCCTTTTGTTCTTGTGTTAATTCGAATCCAGCAATATAATTGATTACTTTCGTTAATCGCTTTTCAATTGCTTCAATTATGGTGAGCGCTATAAAAAGGTTTAATTAGTATAGAGTGCAAGTATTAACACCGGTGTTTTGCTTACCATTTGTATAATCTTGTTCAGCAGCTTGTTGGGGTTTTGACGCTCTTTCGTCTTGAACTACGACCCCTTTGCCTTTGCCTTTGGGCTCGTCATAATTTATAATCAAGGTGAACACCCAAATGGCAAGCAAAGCTGTTCGGACCATCGCCAAAAGTTTGTATCTATGCATGCAAACTTCATCTACCTCTTTTTTTCTAGTTTCTTGCTCTGCGATTTTGGTCAAAAGTTCCTTCTTTTGGGCCTTATACCTTAAAATAATTTTGAATAGTATGGCGGTCTTTTATTAATAGAAAGGTTTAATAACTTACTCAAGGGTGGTTTCGACCATTGAGTTGACCATGACGCTATGCATTAAAGCTGCGTGGTTTTTCTTCTTTAATAAAGTATCTCTGTACTCGGTCATAGTTGCTAACAGTTCTTGCAACCTGTTTTTCTGGCGATCTTGTTCTAAAATACTTGAAAAATAATAGTTATATATTAAACAGAAATAAAAAATAATAAAATAATTATTACCATGGTAGTAATGCTTCGAAATTAGGTACAGCAAAACTATTTTTCAAAACTGTTAAAACACCTTCCAGGTACTCTATATCATCCTTTAATGCTATATCACTATAAGTTTTTTCCAATAACACTCTTCCTAGGTTTATATCACTCTAGAAATAAAACTGTTTAATCTGTAAACACGTAATGGATAAAAAAATAAAAACGACGAGAAGTAAGGGCGCTGTGGGAGTCAATAAAGAAAAATTAATATAGGACTGTATGATAATGGATAAAAGAAATACACTTACATCTCTTCTTAAAAAGAACCTCATATTTTCCGAAACACTATGCACCCTGTTACGCAACTCTTGCAAATTATTTTCACGTTCTTTCATATCGCGTTTTACCAATTTTTCCAAATTGTTAAACTCTTCAATTCTATCATCCAAGTATTCGGTAGCTAATTGACCCAACTGGGTTGCCCCCAGCATACATTTGCTTTGGTTACACGCGTCTATTTTGATTGCATTTAAAACTGCATCAAAATATAATGCATCCTAAATGTAAAAATCAGTAGCCATCGATTAATAAAAGCAATTTTTGATATCTAAAGAAATAAGTGGCATTTACCTGTTTCAAAATATTTAGGATTTTCTTATAAGTGTGACGCACTGATAATGCAGCCTCCCGTTTTAAAACAGCGTCTTGTACTTGTCCTGTTACTATTTCAATCACTTTTTCTACTGGAAGTACTAAGCAATCGTCTGACTTTTTGTTGTCTTCTAATTGAGCTTGTTCAAGCTAATAAAAGAATTAAATAACATAAAAATATGAAAAGAAATGATACACATTGAAAAACATTTAAATTGGCATATATAACTTAGCAAACATAAAAGAACGCATTTGATTTTTTTTATTGATAAAATCGTATGCCTTACAAAGTTATGTAGTTTTTTTTTATCTTCTTTTTCGTAGAGTTTTCCAATTTTCTGTAAAGGCATTTTATGTTTCTACAAAGATTATTTTAATACCTTGAGGGCAATTAGCTGATCAGTTCTCTGACTCATATGGTAATTAAGACGATCCAGCTGTTTCCTTTTATTAAAATTTTCTTGGTGGAGACACTCCACCACTTTCTAAAATTATGTTATTGTTTTTATATAACCACTAAGAAAACGGAAAATAATCATACCAGGGGGTGCATATCTTGATAAGCAAGTTGCATGGCCCTATTTTCCTGTAAAGTTGTTCGAAGCATCTGCCTATCACCTCGAATTGCATTATCCAAATCGTGACGTTGCCTTTCTATTTCTTTTTGCAAATTTTTTAATTCCTTTTTCTGTTTTTTTCTTGCTACTGCACTATCAGCTTCCAATATTTTTCTGTCACGTCCTGAAAAATAAATTTTTATATGTCTATAAGGACACTCAAACCTTTGGAAGTTTAACAAATTTCGAAAAACTTTCTTATAAACAAAAAAAAATTAATAAAGATACGAAAGATTACATTCTTACTAAATAGGGTAACCATCCCCTTATACTGGGTAATTTTATCCTTTGTCATCCATCTTTCGTCTTGTATACCGTGCACCCTCACAGCCAAAGCTCCTAACATATTCATGTTGGCTGACGATGTTTTTTTTTACAAAATATAAAAGAAATTTGTCGGTGTTTTTTGAAGTTTAAAAACGCTACTGTTTGAAAAAGAGCGTAAAAAAATTAAAAACGATATAACACCAATGTGTGATTACGATTTGACGTTTAAGTCACCGCACGTTGAGGCCTCCTTCGTTTTTATTATTTATATCGTACACCTGTAATAAATAGAAACAATTTTAATTAATTAATAAATAAAAATAAAAAATGATATGTACATTATTTTTTTTATAGCAACACAGCTGCTCAAAGAGGAATTACAACAAACCAATAGTTAATTTTTGAGTTATTTATAATAATATAT